TAAAAAAAGTGATATCCTACCATTTGCAATGACATGGATCGACCTACGGGGGCTTATGCTGAGTGAAATAAGTCAGACAGAGAAAGATAAATATCATATGATTTCACTTTTATGAGGAATCTAAGAAACAAAAATAACAAACTAATCAAAAATAGACTCACAAATATAGTGGACAATTTGGTGACAGACAGAGAGGAGGGTGTTGGCGGGCTGGGATAATGGAGTGAAGGGTTAAAGAAGTACAAATTAGTAGTTGATAGATAGTCACGGGGATGGGGAGCATGGTAGAGGGAATGCAGTTAGCATTAATATGTTGGCTAGGTGGAGGGCCAGGGAGGGAGGGAGCGATTGGGAGGATCATTTTATGAACTATATAGATATATATATATGAACTGTATACTTGAAACTAATTAAAAAAAAAAAAAGTCCACACTATATGCTCCATCCAACTTCCCCTTATTGTTCCATTTACAAACCTTGCTGCCAACTCCCAATGTCTCCTATAAAACAGCATATGCTCTACAACATACTTATACAGGCATATAAATCCTAGCTAATTCGCCTTCTCTCTCCAAATCAGTATGCCTTCTTTTAGAGTCCAAGGATTATGTTTCCTCTAGGATCTTAAAATTCCTCATGTTATGCTACCCTGATCATACAAGTCCACACTTTTCTGGTTCCTCCTCCGCACATACGCTCCCCTTTCCCAAGACCCTCCCTCCTGCCCTGTGTCTTCCCACAACTGAATGACATTTTTCTGGGCATGGTCTGCACTGCCCAAAGTCCTAGAGTAGGTACTTCCAGCTCCTGGAGGACTACAAAACACATTAACCTTTTCAAACTGAGGTGTGAAATATTCAAGTGGCATCAAGCTATTTTAAGGACTGTGTATATTTGATAAGGCTGACATTTTTCTTCTTACTTTGAAGCACATAGCTGGACGTAAAACAGAAAATCATTTTAATTACTGAATGAACTGCTACCGCTATATTTGCCTAATTTAATAATACTTAAAAAAAAATATGCTTTATTCTCTCAGGGCAAACCAAGGTTTGCATTAAAAAGAATTTGCTTTCTACTTCGCCCCCTTTCTCCATATTCTTGCAATAGCCCTTGCTTTGTTCTTGCACCTTAACAAGCACTTGTCATACTTGCACTTGTTTAATGATTAAAACCACTTTATGAAGGAGCCCCATTCTTATAACATTTACCTGCCAGCTAAGGAGACAGATGTGGAGATCTGCTCCTCAGTCAAGGTCACAGCCAGCACCTGGGCTGGGACTCCAGGTGCCTTGCCCTCTAAGTGGGGTCTATAACCACTGCACCACCTCACACCCTTCCTAACTTGTTTTTACCCCACTGGCCTAGCATTTGCATACTGTCCTCCAAGTAGTGCAGAACCTTTGATCTTCCTGAGGGATAAAGAGTTGTCAAAGCCAAATCAGAATCTTTAAAAAAAAAAGGGGGGGGCGGGGATCCTAGTTGATAGTTGGTCATGAGGATGGGAAGCACGGCACAGGGAATGCGGTTAGCATTAATAGTTGGTTAGGTGGAGGGTCAGGGGAGGGAGAGTGCAATTGGGGGGATTGTTTTATGAACTATATAGATGTCTAATGAATGTGCTACACACTTGAAACCAATTTAAATACATTTTTTTAAAAAACTTAACTATATAAGAAGTAAACTACACCTATTGTGGTAGATCACTGCACAATATATACAAATATCAAATCATTATGTTGTACACCTGAAACTAATAAAATGTTATTTACCTAAAAAAAGCGGGGAGGGGAGGAATCCTAAATGCAAACGCTGTTCAATCTCCAACCAAACCATGATCGGCTCCTCCTAATTCTCACCCAGTTTTCAAACTAGTCTCCTCTTCCAAGAACACTTCTCAGACATGAAGGAATTGCTGAGGAGAATGTTAATGAATTTATATTCAAATAACTCTGAATAAGTGGCTAAGCTTCTGCAAACACTGGTTGAACACTTAAGACACAAAAGCAATGACCGTCAGGAGCCAAGGGAGACTAAGATCACTTCTTCTGATGAGGCTTATCCCCATTTTCTATAGGGTTCCTCCACCAGAAGATCGAAGGAAGCCTGAGGTGATACACAAGAATTAAACCTCGTTGAAGAGGACAGGGCACCAAAAGGCCCTTCTGAACAAAATGGAAAAAATATAAATCCAATGACAGTGTCTAGATGGTTTTAACATCAGCTGATCCGTCAGAGCCAGTGTATTTTCATGCAGTCATTTGTTCCACACACACTTTCCAGGCTCATGCTGCACTGTGAGAATACAGTGTTGACCAACACGGCCATTGGCCCGCCCTCCCGCTTATGTTCGAAGACTGTTAGAGCATCTTTGTCAACCTGAGAGAAAATCTCTAGGGTTTAATCACAGGTCTGTCTTTAGCCTTTTCATGTTTAACATTTTTTATCAAAGACAAATGAATGTAAACTTGTTCAATTTTGTAAACAAGAAAAAGCAGGAAAAAAAAGAGCGAATTCATCAGAAGATGTAATTACAATCTAAAACGCTTTCGACAGGTTGAAACAGGGCTAAAGCAAGATGAGGTCTGATGGGAGCAAATTTATTATCCTAGATCAAGGATCAAAAAAACTAACCACACAAGAGCAGAATGGAAGATTATTTAACAGCAGCCAAAAGTTAAAAAGACCTTAAGGTTTTAGTTGAGTATCAGTCTAATAGGAAGAAAAGTGGTGATGTAAAGGAATAACTAGAGAATCAGGAGACAAGGATTTTAGTTCTAACAGCTGGGATGGTGGCAAGTCACTGAATTTTGAGTTGCTTTTCTCACCACAACACTAGGGATTTGGGCTAGGATACCTCTCCGGCCCCATCTAATTCCATCAGTACAGAGGATGTTCATTTTGCACACCGCTATGTCCCCAGTACCTAGCACAGGTACACAGAAAGCATTGCCTAACTACTCGTGAGTGAATGACAGTGCTAACAGAACTTCCACAACTTAATACTGTAATGTGTCCCCCTCCCTCAACACACGCAGACCAAAAGCCCTAATACACTCCTGGGTTCAAGAAATAGAAAAAACATCTGGGCAAAAGGGGTCATAATCTCATAGCCACATACATATTCCATTTTAAAAGGACCATTGACAAGTTAGATATAATTCAGAGGAGAGTAACCCAATTGGTTATGGATTCGGTTTATCATCTCCCATGAGGACTAGATAAAATAATGGCTGAAGGAACTGGGGAGTGTTATGTTCTAAGGAAAACAGAAGCTTAGAAAGGCATGGTGGATGCTTTCAACTAGTTTGAATGATATGTCAGTATTAATTTCTAAAGGCAAATGGAAGCCCAAAGATAAAAATTAGTGAGAGGATCCAATATAGATTTCTAGAATGGGCGGTTCCTCACACCCGATCCCACAGCCTTTTGAGAGTTCTCGGCAGGGGACAAAGAGTAGAGCACCCGATCTCTGTACTCAGGGGTGGGCCAACTGAGAAAGCATGTGACAGAGCAGCTTGTGGGAAGGGGCGACCGCATGGCCAGGCCCGGAGATGTCGGAAAACTGGAACACAGCAAAGATCACACAAGTGAGGCAGAATAGCCAAAGGCTGACTTGACAGCTGGAATTCCTGTCCGTTTTGTTACAAACAGCTTTACCAACTGGAGGAAATTTCATTCATTCATAGACCTTTGTCGAGGCTGGGGCTGCAATGGGGAAGACGACAGACAAGCCCTGCCCTCAGGTTGCTGACACTCCATGCAGAGCAAGGAGGAAGGTTCACAACTCCCAAGTTTTAAACTACATGTAATGAGTAAACCTTACCTGGACAAGAGAAAGGGAGATCTCCTTGCACTAATGTCTCTAGACTGGTGGTCAGCCTCCACAATAGGGAGCTGAGTTTGCACTCTCAGAGTGTGTGCATGCTCAATTAAACTGCAAAATTATAACAGTTTAGAGAAAGGAACTATTTAATACCAAGAGTTAAGAGTAAATTATAATTGTTCCTCTTAGAAAGTGGGTAACTCCGTCTTTGAAAACAAAGTCTGTTACCAAAATAGTAGCCAAATATAATTCCAGATAGGAGACATGGTTTGAGCCCTGTCACATAGGGGGCAGGTGGCCGCAGACCTGTGAAATGTTTTAACAGGAACAATGCTTCTTTATTCCAACTTAAAAGAGTGTCTACGCACAGATTGGGAGTTTAGTAGAATTCTATGTTCTGGCCCAGGAATAGCCAGAAAAATTTTTTTCATAAAAAGCCAGACAGCAAATATTTCCTTTGTGGGACATATGGTCTCCATCTCAGCTCTAGATTCTGTCTTTGTAGTAAAAACAGAGCCTTAAACAATGCTACACAAATAAGTAAGGCTGTGCACCAATAAAACTTTATTTACAAAATAGGCTGCTAGTTGGAAGTGTTTGTTCTAACCACATTAAATGGTATACCTCAGAATATCAATAAAATCTCCCAAGATCTCTCTCTCTCTGTTTCCTCCAGACCTCAAAGGGCCATGCTACTGAAAAGGGGGTCCTAGTGCTGGTGACATGTTTCCCACATGAATGGTTCCTGGAGGGTAAACAGGGCTAATAATTACTAACCTGGGCTGTGGATGCTATAAGGGGACAACAAAAGGCCTTGGCTTTCTGGTGAATCACCTATATTCAGGGTCAGATACACATAGGCTAGGAAACTCTGATCATCTACTCTAGCTTTCTGTTTTTTATTCCTTGATTTATCAGAGCTTCAAGGGGTGCAAGTGATCTTCCTAGCCCAACCTTCCATCCTACAGCCTCCCAGGGCCCTACCCTACAGAAGTTCTAAGGCTTCAACTCCCCTCTTCCAGATGTGCCCCCGACAAATCTCCATGCTTGTACCCCATACCCTCATCTTACCCTCTCCTCTAATTCACAATGTGCCCAAAGCTCTGGGGCCAAACACAAAGCAATACTTATAATATGAAACCTTTAATTAAAATCGCTGTTCATAGTCCCAAAAGAGATATTTGCCAGCTGTTAAATGAACTGCAACTTTTAAATGCATCTGTTCTGTAAGGTCCTTTAAGAGCACTCCATTTGACCCCACATATTGGAATTCATTCATGAAGCTGTAAAGTATGATTTTCCACCACACTGTGAACAGGAATGAGCAATGGTAGCTTCTAGAGCTAGAGAAGAAAAGTATATTTTGCCTGGACATTTTATAGTTGTGAAAAGGATAAAGGCATTTCCTAAAATGAGATTTTACCTATATCACCCAATGGTGGACAGAACAGAGAGACTGGACACAGAATGAAGGCAAATCATTTGAGGGGGAAAGGAAAGAGAAAGAAGTATCCACTGGAATATTTTCTTAGGGATAAAGAGAGTTGAGTCTGAACGTGAAGTTGAACATGGCCACCAAATTAAGTTTATGTAGTTAAGTTTATGTAGTTATGTAATACCTGAGGTACCATAGTATTTTAATAATAATTCAACTTTCAAAAGTATAGGTATATTTTCCAAAATGATTTAGTAGACCTTAATTAACTCTTGTACCTCCTCAAATCCTTTGGGGAAATATACTAGAATATACAACAAAATGTGTAGCTGTGTAAATGACTCTTAAAATTTTGTAAAGGAGGCTATTATCGTCAATTTTAGCCAATTAGGATAATTTCTAAGTTAAAATAAGATGAACTTACCTGTAGGATTTCAGATGAGATCTAAAGCACTTGAAGTTCTTTGTTTTCTGTATTTCATCTTTAATTAAAACAGATTTGCTGGGAACTATTGAACAAAAAAGAAAAAATGTCTGAGTCATAACATTGGACACTATGATATCTATAATCAATGTTCTATACCTAGCAAGCTTCTATGGAAGCAAATTATTATAGAATGACTCTTCATTTTTGGTAAAGCTTTGATCCTCTCTTCCTCCTTGTTCTCAAATCACCTCATGCATTTAATCTGGAATTATATCTAATCACTGTTTTGATAAGAGACTTTATTTTCAGGGCTGGAACTATGACCATTTATTTGAATGAACCTTCTAGTCTAGGAGAAACAAAAGGTCATAGGCTCTTATCTCGTAATTTTAAATAGTTCTCTTTTCTAGACTAATCCACGTTCAATCTGCGCTTTTATCAGGCATCAACACATTCTGAGGGCACAAAATCAGCGCCCTACCTCTGTCTAAGCCTCTGGAGAAAGCCAAAATACAAACCTGTTCCCAGTTGAAGGCTGTGAATTCAAATCTTTTACCTCTGAAAAAAGAAAAAAAAAACCCACATGGTTTGGTAATTTGTTCCTTGGTAGTAGCTCTTACTGACAAAGCAGTCACCTCCTAAATTACACTGGCACTTGTGCAAAATTCAGAGGAAAGAAAACCATATCTGCCCTGCAAGTCTCCCTCCTAGTCCAGCAGTGAGAAGTGGAAGGGAAGGAATATGGAATACAACTCGTTGCTTAACGCTGGCATCATTTTTCACTGCTTGGGAAAGTGAGGCTCCATTGCACCTTTAAGATTTCTTCTTCAACGCCTTGTGTATATACGTACTCGTTAAAATCACCTTTTACAAATTATGTACCACTAGGAGCTTCCTCCACTCCCTGCCTAATTTGCCCATTCTCCTCCTTAGGTCCTACTTCTCCCAGTCCCTCTCGGTGAAGAACCCTCCCACAATTCGGCTCTCGGGCCCTTCCCTTGCTCTTGGGAAAGCGTTCGCCTCCGCCCTTATGGAGATCCACGAACATCAAAACATCGTCTCCGTCCTCTCTCCCGCCGCCGCCGCGGCCAACGCCCCCACTGCCCGCGGCTCCCGGGGTTCGTCTCCAGCGCTGCCCGGGTGACGGGA